AGATTAATTAAATATAATATAATTATTATTAGTAATATAATTATTATATATTTATAACGGTTCGAACACACCGAAATGAGAGGGATCCAAAGATAGTATAAGTATGAGATTGTATAGTTGAGAATGACTTAAATGAATTAATTTGTACTACTTATACTGACAACATGTATTTACTTTTCTGTAGCTTATCTCATCAGAACTCCACAGTTAAGTGTGCTTGACTTAGAGTAATACAAGGATGGGTGACCTTCTAGGAAGTTTCCCAGAAACTGTGTAAATAAGGACAAAACATGCTAAAAAGTGAAGAATTGTGAAATAGAATCCTTGAGAAGAATAACAACCGAATTTGAGATGTCTAAAAAATTTAATAAAATAAAAAATAAATATTTAGTGACTGATTTAGAGGCAGTTAGTGCGACAGGTGCTGTAAGGGTCACAATTCCAATTTTGTGACGGTTTGTGCAACGATTTCAGTAACCATCGCAAAATTCACTTGTGACGGACATTTCTACGACGGTTGGTGAACCGTCGCAATGATGTCTTTACGGCAGTTCTAACCGTCGCAATGTAGGTCATATAACTGTCGTAAAATTGTCATTTTCTTGTAGTGAAGGAAATATGATTTCAATTTTCAATATGAAGGGCAAAACTATTATCATGAAATCCCAATAGTTGCTATTGTCATCACCATTATCACTTGTCTTCATCAATACAATTACTATCACAATTTATTATAATAATTATTACTACTAAAAAGTGTTGGGAAATAGAAATAAGAAATATTCAAGATATATTATTTATCAATGAATTACATTAAGATGAATATCAACAAATGAAAAATTAAAATAACAAAGAATAAAGTAAAATAAGAAGGTTTAAAAAAATTTGCATTGAAGCATGTCAAGCACTATCCTTTTAGAGAAAACCCCTCACTACATTGGTAGATTAATTTGTAATGCACTCTTCTCCCAAGATACCAGAACTCATCAAATCAATCATGTACATCATATAATCTTCAAATAAGGGACAACTAGGAAAAAACATTAGGTGGGACAAAAATTCATCACATAATAAATAATAGGCTTAAATATGTTTAAACTACCTTGAATTAGCTCGATTTTCAGATTACTACTTTTTAAATTTTTTTTGTTTAAATTACTTGACTAATATGTTTTTTCAATTTAGTACCTAACGTTAGTTTCTTCTGTTAAATGATGACGTGGAAAACGGACTGTCACGTCATCACCCAACAGTGTATGCCATGTCAGCACATGGCGACCTCATTCTTAACGTAGATTGCCACGTCATATTTGAATTTTTTTTTTAAAATTAGTTTCCCAAACCACCCTCATTCTTCTCTGCCGTGCACCACCTCCTCCAGCTCCAGCAACGCCGCCTCGCCATCGTTGCCACGCTCATGAAGCCGCACATCAGCACCACCACCACAATGCGCGACACCGTAGCTGCTCCTCCCTCCCTCCGCCAGAAGTGGTGGAGCCCTTCTGCGACCTCTCCGACGTCGTTTCGCCCCCTCAACGCTCCTCGTGGCTCCCCTAAACCCTCTCCCCCTCCTTCGTCTCCCACACCCTCCGCTCAGCGGGGCTCTTATCATCAACGAGCCCTCTCTTCTTCTCCATAAAATGGTAGAACGAACCAATACCCAAGGGCTTACCGAGAAAATCCAAACCCTCGCAATCTCCTCCGACAACCGATCAATCTTCGCCACCCAACGCTTCACCTCCTTTCCTTCCGTCATCAATTCCCTCACGTGCGCCGTGAACAGAGCCCGGAGGCGGCCCTCAAGCTCTCCCTTCACGGTGGCTTGGACCTCAGCACCGGCGCAAAGTCGTGCTTCTCCACCAAAAGAGACTCCCAGAAAAAGACAGCGGCGTCACATGCGACGTCCCAATGTTGATAGTTGATCGTGCCGGCGAGGTGATCGACGGGGTAGAATGTGAAACTCTCCAGCTTTTGTTGACATTCATCGATTAGGGCCTCCACGTCGTTGTGGCGGAGGGTGCGGCGCTGCCAGGGCTGGAGGAGGCGCTGCACGCGGCGGAGGAGAATGAGGAGGGTTGGAAAATTAATTTTTTTAAAAAAATTAAAATGTGACGTGGCAATTTACGTGGAGAATGAGGTGGCCATGTGTGCTGACATGACATACACTGTTGGGTGATGACGTGACAGTCCGTTTGCCATGTCATCATTTAACAAAGAAAACTAACGTGAGGTACTAAATTGAAAAAAAAATATTAGTTAGGTAATTTAAACAAAAAAAAATTAAAAAGCAGTAATATGAAAATCGAGCTAATTCGATGTAATTTAAACATATTTAAGCCTAAATAATACCAAAAAATTCAAATAAAATATTAGTTTTAAAAACAAAATATTATATATGAATATAACTACTTATAATGTTAAGTAAATACATATAAAAAACTACTAATTAAATATCAAGATTATGATACTTTTATTCTTAATTTAATAAAACTCTTCTGTGATGTCTTTTGTAGTGATTCTCATTGCAATCTCCTTTTCAATATAAATAGTTAAAGAATTTACATAAAAAGAAAAAAACTTCTGTATTACAAAGTCTTATTTTGATGTTTTATTATTAAAAAGGCACGTTATATGAAAATAGTTAAAATACATAGTCAATACAAGACGAAATTTATCCTATTAACCAAATGATAAATCGATTATTTAAATATTTCCTTTTGTAATCTGTAAAGTAATTTTGTATAGAGTTTTAAAAACTTAAAGATTTTTTTTTAATTTACAAAGTAAATATTTTTTAAAACTAAAAAACACACATTGTTTAAACTAAAAAAAAAACAAGAATTGTTAAAAAAAAATTAAGAACTACAATTACTCCTTGCATTTATGCAAGAAAAAAGGGAAATGAGAATTAATTTAGTTGTGCATAGGATTGAGTGTGACACTCATTCTACCCCAGCAAATAATATAATTTAATAAGGAAGAAATCTAGCAATTTAGGTAAAACGGGTTCACATGCAATCCACTTCTAATCAAAGAAAAATAATTACATGCAAGATGTAGAATTTTTAGCAAGAAAAGGTAAATTAACATGAAAGATAAAAATCATAATCTAATCCCATTGCCCTGATGTCATATTATCAAAGCAAACTTTTAGCTCTCGATACCTTGAGTACCGACCTCATCACTGATCTCATTACCTAAAACAAAACCATAATGTATACGGGTGAGAAAAATGGTTATTCATATATGTAAGACACGAGAAAAGAATCACACCCAAACATATAATCAACCCTCATACGGTTCACAGTAATAGCCAATTACAATAATTTTATTATCTCATACATACATGTACATCAATTAATAACACCACAATCATATCATTGTAAAACTCTTGCATCATGCTTATGCTCACATCAATGCATATGCAATGCAACCTCTTAAGATGCATCAACTTAGAACGCTGCATATTGGACGAACTTCATCAATCTCCTCAAGCACTGCCACGCATGGCCACACCGTTTACATCACTTATGATTGGTGTCACACTGTTAATCACCACTTATGGACAGTATATAAAAATCACCCTATTAATCACCACTTATGGCTAGGGAAAATGTATATGCAACATGAACAAATGCTCATGTCATGTCACCTTATCCATTCATCATCTCCATCCATGACAATGAACAATTAAATATAAAGTCACATCCACTCATATTTGTACATCAACACATCTAAATACACATCATTCATACTTAATCATACAATATTCATTATTGGAAAGTATACCATTCACAACCATCATCAAAATATAACATATTCATAGTCTATTAAGGCCAAGTGCTCCTAATAGTTTCTTGTTTCACTTTTCTTTTTCTAGGTTTTTCTCTTTTGTTTTCTTTTCTTTTTCTTGTATTTTTGTCTCTTTCTTTTCCTTTATTTCTTTGAATACAGAATATGAGCACTTAAAACAGAGGCCAAACAATTAACAAAGAGGTTTCCACTGGAAAAAGACTTTTAATTGCTCAAAATATTAGCACAATTTTTGTTTTGGTTTTATAATCCATTCTAGAGCCATTCCTAAGATTATTCCTTTGAGTGCTAGTGTTGAAATAAAACCTTTAATTGTTGCTTTGTGTCTTTCTTAGTTCTCTTTTGGTTTTGTCATATTACTTCCTATTAGAGTGTTGCCTATCCTAATTGTGCATTTTCAGTTTTGATTTCTTTGGCCTCTACTTTCTCTTGGTGATTGTTAAGCCTTGGTGGGAGATAACTCTTTTTCAAGCCATTACACTTGGAAAGAAAGGCTAATTGAGACATATTGGAAGTGTTTATGATATTACTGGTGCCATTATCATCGTGTTGTAGCTTATTCATGGCTTCGAACACTCTAGGAATTTATTCTTTGAGTTGCGCGAGTTCCTAGTTAAGAGCACAATTCCTTTCTTCTAGGGATTTCATAACTCTTCCTCTTTGATCCCTTGTAAGCACGAAGTGTTGAAAAGCCACCTTCTAGGGGGACAACGATAATTTCCTATTAGGCTATTGAATGAGAATGCATGAATGAGGTCCCTAACAGAGACTTGGTAACTCATCCTTGTTGGGAGGTGAGTTATCGGTGTTCCATTTTATAATATTTTATGATAGGGGGTAGTTTCTTTCCTAAAGCTAGGCTTTCTTCTAAATAGTTGCTCTACCCTCACACAAAGTTGAACTAGTTCATTAAGGGCTTTATAGGGTAGTAGTTCAACCTTGTCCCTAATTTCTAGGTTAATACCATTTTGGAACCTAACAATGATGGTTCTCTCTTCTTCCCTAATTTCAGCCCTTAGCATAAGAAACTCCATTTGTTGCCTATATTCCTCCATACTTTGATTTCCTTGTTGGAGTCTTTGAAGCTTGTCTATTAACTCTCTCTCATAATAGGGAGGAATGTGCCTTCTCCTTAAGGCACTCCTAAGTTCATTCCAATATTTAATGGAGGGCTCTCTCATGATTTGTTTTTCTCTCATTAGGGAAGTCCACCAATGCATGGCACTCCCTTGAAAACTTAGGGTAGCCACGGGAGCCCTTCTCTCTTCACTCACATTGTGGCAAGTGAAGAGTTGTTCAACCTTCATCTCCTAATCTAAGTAATCATCAACATTGTCTTTTCCATGGAAGGGAGGAAGGTCAACTCTAGGTTCTCGAAGAGAGGTTTTTTCATGCCTAGGCCTATGTTGCCTAGGGGGTCTTTGATAGTAGCCATCATCATGGTGACTACTATAAAACCCTTCACTTGAAGATGAGTGAGTGTGTGAATGGTGACTCTTGGGCCGTGACTGCTCTTCTTCATGTTGGCCTCTATGAGGCTTAGAAGGCCCTTCACCATTATGCCTTTTGGGCCTAGAAGGCGCATGACCCTCATTGGCATGGGGTTTTCTAGTTTCACCCCCACGACAAGCTTACTCAACAAGTCTCTTATTGTTTCATTGTTTTTTTCATTTTCTATTTCTTTTCTTCTAATATATTCCCTAAGTTCCCTAAGTTCATCTTTAGTACTCCTATGACTTTTAGGAGCATGATGACCATGCACACTACTTTCATGAGAATTATCACTCATTTTTGCAAGAGAAAGATTTTCACAAAAGAATTTCTCTTTTTGGTGTAAGACTAAGTACTTGGAGGTCTAAGTATACAAGTTGCACTATCAAGGGAGGTGAGCTACAAGGAGCCACTTAATAACCAAGCCTTTTCAAGTGGAAATTACTAAATCCCCTTATACTTGTCTTACAAAACAACTTTTTCACACAAGCAAGTCAAGTAGTTGTGTGTGTGTGCACGAAACCCCTAGTAGGCAATAGGAAGCCTTCTAAACGAACTTAGAATTAAAACAAGTAAAGGAAAACAAGTAACACTAGTCGAATTGTCCTAGGGTAGAAGTCCAAGTGACACTTAGAATCCCTTGGAACACTTTCACAAGTACTAAACGGATCTAAGAATCTTTATTTGGAACTATTTAGGAAGTGGTGGGACTTAATCAAAGATTTTTCCGAAACAACCACTCCTAAATGTAAGTTTGTTTCTAACAAAAGAAAGTTAAAAGTTAACCCAAGGGTAGGGTTAAAGAGTTATAATCAAGAAAGCAACACAATTCAAGAAAATTGAAGAATTCCACCAAAGGAGGTTGGTGAACGAGTTTGGGACAGCCTTGGCTTCAAGTTTAGTGACCAATTTGAGAGTAGCTAGGTGGTCTCCACAAATCCGTCTCTAATCTCTAAAATTCGTCACTAGTTTCTTCAAGAATCCGTCACTAGTTCCTTCCAAAATCCGTCTCTAATCTTTGACCTAAAATTAAGAAAAATTCTTGGATGCAAAATGAACAAACAAGTGAGCCTTTCCAAAGTGTATCACTCAAGTGTTTT